AATAGTTCACATCTACCTGATTAAATGCTGCACCAGTAGAGGTTTCCAGTCACAACCTTTCTAATTATAAAAAATATGGAAAACTAGATACACTCTGTAACCATACCATGTCTGTCTTCCTCAGGTGTAAGAAGATACTTGCCTCATTGTCATTCATACACCAGGACAGAACCACGCACACTGTGCCTTGAGTCACTACTTTACAAATTAAGAATTAATCCTTGTGGGATATACACATCCTCAGCTCACGTGGTGAACACAACCCTCCTGTTACCGTGAACAGCCGGTCAAACACCGCAGCCTCCCGCTATCGATCCTGCAGGCCCACATGTCTATATAGCTGCCTTTCAACCTTGCCCTGGAAGTCAGGGTTAAGTTCAAATTTAGTAACTTACCACACATACTAGTCTATTCATAGCCCCCTTACATACCACTGACCTAGCTATGGGAGCTTGCTTTTTTCTGGCTGGGGCAAAACCTCCCTCTGAGAGGAGTTAAAACAGGATGCAAGAAGAGGATCATGTGCAAAAAAGACAAATTGATCTCTGAGCTGAAGGGGAGCACAGTCTATCAGAACGTACAGCTCCTGCATCACGGCTCCACCATAGTCCTCAGAAAACTTATTTGTGTTGATTCCTACTCAACATACAGAGCGGCATCTTTGACACTATGGTAAGAAAGAGTAATGAGCTCTGTTATTTCTAATAACTTACTACTAGACCCAATCTGCAAGCTCTCATACCTAATGCAGAATCTATAATCTACAATTATTTATGCTCTCTCCGTATAGATTTTGTAAAAATCCCATTCTATAACATAAATATATTGTTTTTCCAAACTAGAAGAGCTAAAGCTTTAGGCAACTTAGGTAAGTGCCTTTGAAAATCCCAAACCTCTCAGAGCAACTTTCGAATGCCCACACTCTACCAAGCTTTGCTATGCAATATAAAATCCTAGGGTTACCAATTTTAGAAGAGTTCTCTAAAAGAAACACTTGATTCCCTAGTAGCTTGCTCCCCAGCTGTTTTTCCTCCCACCTCTTTCCTAGTCCTGATTACCCTCTTGATAAGCACTTTGACCATAACAAACTAAGATGAGGATTTAATACTCCTAAGTGGCACAATTCAGAGAGCAGAAGAGCTGTGACATTTCAGAATATAAGAGGACCAAGCCCTCTTATAGCACATTTATTCAGCACATCCAAGAAAAACTAAGGTGTCCAACTGGTTAAAAAGGAGACATGAACAGCAACGAAAGGGTCACATAAAGATCTAATCTAGAGACAAAACCAGGACAAACTGGAGAGGCAAAACAAACACAGTAAGAAAATGTTCTAAGCGTAAGATATCACCTGCACAGCACAAAACAGCTCTAGGACCAGCTCTAGCAGAATCTACATGGTCTTTAGGAAAAACACATGGCCTTATGCAGTTTCCAGAGAAAAAAAAAACACCCTTATTTTTTAACTCTGTATATGTGTGTAGACTTGTTTAAGCAGGCATATAAAACTGTAAAGTTTCTGGAAATCAACTCCATGGATCAACAGCTAAGTTTTTCAGAGCAACTAGTGTTATTGCTGATGCTGTCAGAAGCACATAAAATGCTTCAGATACTGAATAACTGGAATGTAAGATGCTTCATTTAGCTTTCCCACCTCAAGTGTTAAAACAGACACTGACTGAACCCCCTATCTCAAACTACTGTGCTTTACTGTTAGCTTGCATTTTGGCTCCACATGCAAATAACTGATTTTCTTCTTTAGGTACTGAAGGAAAGCACGCACGCACAGAACAGGCAGCATTTCAGTAAAACAAGTGGAGAGAGGAGCTACTCTTCTAGTGATGCTCTACCCCAGAACACACAGGTCAGTAAGGCAAAAAGCCTCCTCTTCCAGACTCTTTTCTTACAGTTTTAGAGGGAGAAAGCCAGGAGACCTACACACACATAGGAGATATGATACCTGAATACTACTTCAGACTCACTACCTCCATCCTAAGCGGGACTGCTCACCCATCAGTACAGATAGATTTAAGGAATAAGAGAAATGCTTATTCATGCATCAAAAGCTGAGTACCAAGATGTGTTTAGCAAGCCAGCTGGACCAAGCAAGCGATACCATGCACACTGACATACCAGATAAAAGATCACAAGACACGTCACCCCTAACATCCTTGTTAGAACAATTAAAAAAAAAAAAACAAAAACCTCACACAGCAAAACCAAACCAATCTTTAGCTACAAAAAAATCCCCACCTTCTGTCACCAACCAACCAGTTTAATGCGAGGGAAATTAGAAAGCAGGAGTTCAGCTACCGTTCCTCTTGTCAGTTTCCAGAAAAAATAATATAACCTGACAAACAAGGCATGAAACAACAGACCACTACATGCCTGTAAATGGATTACTGGAGGGCTAGAAGCCAAAAGAAGTTCTGTTCTTACTGCATGGATGCAATATGAGCTATTATTAACCTGCTCTAAATATCACAAATGAAATAACCAGAGCTGCATTGCATAGCACAGAATTCTCCTTGACAGCAACAAAATAAGGTGATCAACACTCAGACAGTAAACATGTAAGAGAATTCTCCACATCTTCTGACCTTTTCTTCTACTTATCACACTGCTTTATTTTTAAAAGGGAGGCACTGTCAAAGCACAGCAGGTCACCTATTTTTTCCCCCCCTCTTGAGTAATACTGGACAACATACAACTGTTTACTCTAAGCATATCTTATTCAAGGTTACCAAGGTCATTTCTAGCTAACAGCAAAGAAAAAGCTGGTACAAAATACAGAAATAAGTCTCCCGGTCTAAGAGCAAACAGACTGGGAAGCATGTGAACCACCACTAAACTTTTCCTTCTGATGATGTATGAGAGAGAGACAAGTTCTTACGGTGTGGTTGAGAAATGCAAGACCACCTATGTTCTGTTCCAACGCCAATCTGCTTTCAGCCATTAACTCAGAGCTATTTCGGAATCCTTTCAGAAGTCTTTTACTGAGCTACTATTGACTTGGGCCAGTATCCTTCTGTAACCAGTGCTAAAAATTATTTTGCATATGCTCAAAGAATATACTCTAGTTCAGCGAAGCAATCTAATTTAAAGACAAGCAATTCAGGAAATAAAGTTTGGAAGTAGTTAGGTTAAATCTTTCCAGAAAAACTTTAGGTGATTGAAAGAGGAATCTTATTTCCTCTCACATTTTTCTTTGCCTAAACACTAAGTAAATAATTTTTTTAAAAAAAAGCCTGCCTCATTTTTCTAAGAGTAGCTTGCTAACTTCTTTATTATTCATAACACTGTCTGCAAAGTTTGGATTTTCATTGCACAAGGGGAATGCAGAGAAGTTCCCCACTTACATTCCTGCTGGGTGGGACATGAGTGTGTTAGGGTCCCAGAAATAGCATTATTAGGGAAAATACAGTTCTGCAAAAACTAGGATGGTCAGTAACTACAACAGCAACATTATACAAGCCAAACTTTTCTATCTGTAGTTATTTATAGGTAGTCTGCCCAGTGCCTGTTTAAAACTAAGTATCCCTGCTGATTCCTGATCGCTTTGTTACAAAGACTCTACAAGCCCGTTAGCTTGTGCACAATAAGATTATTTCCTGGGGTGCCTTACCAAAGCCAGGGGTCTTATGGTTTCTTCCCCCCCCCCCCATTCCAGCCACAAGTGAGCTCAAAAGAGACAACAGATTTATTTTACATCTGTCTTCAACCTGACGCACGGATGAGTCCCAGTGACAGAGAGAAGCCAAGTTCTAATCCGGAGCAGCCTGGAGAGCCAGCACGTAGCACTGGAGAAGACACTGACTGCATTTTCCTGTGATGCCCGTGGCAGGACATACACCCCGCGGAGTGGAAAAGTGGATTCCACTCTCTGGCCTGAACAATTTTAGGTTGAAGGTACAACCCACCAGAAACACGCTGTCTGGAATACCCTCCCAAACCGGCTCCGGCGATCTCTCCGAAGGCGAGGGGCTGCTAAGGGCAGAGCCGAGCCGGCGGCACAGGAGGAGGGGCCGGTCCCGGTGCCCGCTGTCACCCCGGGGCTGCAGGAGGCGGCGGCGCGGCCGGATCCAGCCCTTGCACAAGGCCTGGATCGCACACGCCACCCGCCTTGGGCAAGCGGGCACGGTCACAGGCGCCGCAGCGAGCCCCGCACCGCTCGGTCGTGCACCGGGGCAGCTACAGGACGGCTCTGCTCACCGGCTACCGGTCCCGAAAGGCCGACGGCCCCGCTGCTCGACGGCCCCGGGCAGCGCGGCCTCCTCCAGCCTAAATAAGGGCAAGGAGGCCGCAGCACTCGCCAGCTTCTAGCCGGGTGCAGCCCCGCCGGGGCTGGGGCAGCCGCCATTGCCCGCCGGACCCCTCACACGTCCCCCCCACACACACCACCGGGGATCGGCGCCCCGGAGCGGAGCGACCCCGGGGGCTGAGGAGCCGTGAGGCAGCCGCGCCCCCCTCTCCGCGCCGGGCACCGGCGTCCTCCCCACGGCGGCGGCGGCGGCGGCGCCGCCACCTCCCACCTCCCTTCCCTTCCCGCACCGCTCCGCTCCATCCCGTCCCGCTGCGCTACCGGGTCTCCCCACAGCCCCTTCCCTTCCGCTACTATGGCCGCTGCGCACCCGACCCGACCCGGCCCGGCCTAGCCTAGCTGTCACCGCCCGGCCTGTCCTCACTCCGCTGTTGCGACAGCGACGCTCACCTGGCCGCCTCGCCGCCGCCTCACAGCCCCGTCCCCTCAGCTCCGCTCCCCTCAGCTCCGCTGCCCGCCGCCTCAGCTCGCGCGCCTGTTTACCGCCCCGGCCACCCCCGGCTGAGGCCCGGCCTCGCGCTCCGCCCCCGCCGCTCTCCCATTGGCCACGACTCCTCCGGCCCCGCCTCCCTAACGCCGCGGGACCGCCTCCCCGCAGCGTGCCGAGCCCGTGCACCCCGCGCCCCCCGCCAATAGGAGGAGGGCTGGGGCCAAGCGCCGGCCAATGAGGGGGAGAGGAGGGAGGCCGGGAGGGCGCGCGCGGCGGCTGCAGGAGGACGTGAGGCCCGTGAGGTCCGTGAGGCGGCGGCCGGGCGGCCGGGCGGGACGGGGGAAGCGTGAGGTGCGTGTGCGGCGGGATGGGATGGGATGGGATGGGAGGGGAGGGCTGGGCCGGAGGGCGGGAGGCGCCCGGGGGAGTCGCTGGC